TACCGTGCCCTGTTTTGGTCATCACACTTCTAAGTAGTAAAGAATGACCAAGGGAAGAGAAACAAGAACGATCAGTGACCTAGAGGTTACAACTACGCGAAATGGTTTAAGAATCTGAGATCTAGCCTTGAGAATACTGAAGAGAAACACGAACAGACAAGTATGTAAAAGCCTCATCCAAGAACGTAAAAGAAATAAACAACATATGATGAACTGCTGCAAGACTGAGAATAAACACTTGAAAAATTTTGACAGTAAAGATGCTCTAAGCAGTGGAATAAGGCTGCCTTGTGAGGTTCTGGCACTTCTGTCACCTCAGTTACAGGTTAGACATGTCTGACACTGATTTTTCATTAAAATTATCCTATTTTAAGAATAGACTGGATGAGAACCTTTCCATTATTATTCTTCTTTTATAGTATCTGAGTACTTCAAGAACATTAATGTATTAATTTTTAAGATACCTTAAAAGACAAGCCTCCACTTCACAGGCAGAATCCAAGAAAGAAAATAATATCCAATTATATGCTAATTTGAATGTTCATCTTGTGTTTTGTTAATACTTCACTTTTACATAGTGAGCTGTACTTCAAAAACACAGAGCACCGAAACCAACTGATCCCAAGAGGTCAGAGCACAAGTTAAGATGGTTACCAGGAAACAGAAATCACTTTGGAAAAGTCTGATTTAACCTACTTATTGACGGTAACAGGAGAGGATGGAGAATTTGGGTTCCATTTCAATCTCTCAAAAGGAATGTGATCTGCAACACCAAATATTTCTATACCTGTTATTAAACACTAACAATGGCACGTACAAATGGAATCTGCTTTTTCAGCGGCCTCTACAAGGACCACTTCCCTGCTGAAAGTCAAGATTGTGTTTCAATGCACGGAGACACTTTTTTTAGTTTTCTTTAAAAAGAAAAACAAGAGTTCAGTACTAGCATTTTCTTTTCAGGTCTAAGAAAACGCTTTTCATTTTTGTTGAAATTCACAGCTCCAGGCACCAAATATCAAAAACTTTAGTCCAAATGGCTAAATATCTGTTGAAGACAGGAGGAAAAAAAAAAAAATAGTGTGATAAGTATTCAGCAATCTTAATGTTAGACAATGGCACAAGCCATTGAATGAGCTGAATTTAAAGCCTCAGCAGAAAAAACAGCATTTAACATGGATGTGAAGAAAGGGCTTATCTGCAGGAACAGTTTGGAAAAATATATTTACCAAACAAAAGGAGAAGCTTTAGGTGGAGCAAGAGGATGCTCTGAACTGCAACAAAGGGTAACCAGTTCACCATGAAGCTGCATAGCTTCACCGTGAGCTGGACGTCACAGAGATCCGGACAGGGCTTGAAAAGGAGGACGATTCCCTAGAAACACGGCTTTTGTAGGGCTGTCCTTCAGGAAGAGAGTGACCGCTCTCTTACCTCCACCAGGTCCCTGCAAGTGTGAAGTTCCTTCTTCAGAATTATCATTTGTGAAACAGTCAGGCCCCGTGGATGGCACTAAAAAGGAGTGCCCCTTTTCCTTCAAGACACCCTCCTCAATCCTCACCCAGATAAAGACTCAGTTCCATTTGGCAGTCAGAAGATTATTAAGAGTCAAGCATTAGGTGAAAGATACCACCACTGCCAATGTTCACAACGCATCTGCAGTGAATGCCTGCGAAACTGTAGCCTTAACCGCAATCAGCTTAACCTGACGAAGGTGCCGCTGTGGTTCCGAAGTGACCCTACTGCCCACTGCCTTCCTCCCGCCGCCCCGGCGTTCATGGAGCTGCCTCACATCAAGCCAACCAGGCAGCGGATCTAGCTGAATGCTAACCCTATACATTTCTTTTAGTAGTAGTATTTTTTGCTTCCAATTGTATCAGCTCTCTACAGAGCCATACAAGCCCAAAGCTACCACAGCAGAGGTGGCAGATATATGTATGGGAAAAGACTGGGTAGGGAAAAGTAATCTGCCCCTTTCCAGGGCAGCAGGGAGCTATGGCAAGGTTTAATGACCAGCTGAAATTATAGAATCATCGAATCGTTTAGGTTGGAAAAGACCTTTAAGATCATCCAGTCCAACCATTAACCCACACTACCAAGTCTACTCTAAGCCAATCAAGGGTAGACCGGACTAAACCATGTCCCCAAGTGCCACCTCTGCCCGTTTTTTGAACGCTTCCAGGGATGGGGACTCCACCAGCTCTCTGGGCAGCCTGTTCCAATGCTTGACCACCCTTTCCGTAAAGAAATTTTTCCTAATTTCCAACCTAAACCTCCCCTGGCGCAGCTTGAGCCCATTTCCTCTCGTCCTATCGCTAACTACTTGGGAGAAGAGCCCAGCACCCCCCTCCCTGCCCCCCCCTGTCCAGCACCTAGAGTGATGAGGTCTCCCCTCAGCCTCCTCTTCTCCAGGCTGAACACCCCCAGCTCCCTCAGCCGCTCCCCACCAGCCCTGTGCTCCAGACCCTTCCCCAGCTCCGCTGCCCTTCTCTGAAGTTGATCTAAGATTTCTTTTCTTGCATAAACCAAAGATTGTAGCATCAGAGTAGTATTTACACCCTTGGATGATATGGTTAACTAACATTGATTTATATTCTCCAAACCCAGAACATTCCTTGGAAGTTAGATAAACCACACACAAATCGCAAGCAATTTTTAAATGGTCTATACAGCCTCTATGTAGTTACGGGACAGAAATATTTATTGCATTTGGCGTGGAAGTTGCAGTCTGCGAGTGCTGGGCAAGAAACAGAAATGGGTGAGCACTAGAGCACCAGATAGCCAGCAAATTCTTTCTTTTCCTTTCCCAATAAATTATATACAAAGGTGAACAGCTGTCACACTGACATTTCAGATCTGAAATATAGTTAAGAGCAAGTTATAACTAAGGCAAAGAACATGAATGTCAAAAAGTTTTGTTTTTTCAAATTTCAGATAAGCTCCTTAGCCCTAGGGTTAATCAGAGAGCTAGAGAGCTCTGTTTGGAGTCTAACTTCTTACCAGAAAAATGTTTCTTTGTGTAGTATGTGTGTAAACACGCACAAGTAAGGGTATATGTATTTATATAAATAATATGGCACACCTTTAATTCATTGCCCAGGGTAATCAAAATACTAGTGGTCCTGCAGAGAATCTTTTTCTTCCTGTATTAAGCAACACCAATTAACAAGAGGAACCATCTGAGCAGCATACCCTGCAAAGCAGCTCCGCAACCTCACCCTGCAGTCAGCAAGGTTTCCAGCCTTCTCCAGAGGTACCTGTTGGAGATACAGGTCCGCCACGGCCAAGTTAGCTGCTGCACATCGTTACCAAAGAGTGCCCGGCTGTCAGGTTAATTCAGCTATCGATAATACCAAGGGAATGTAATCACAGTCTGACACGACTGCTTAACACGCTGCCAGACTGCATGCAGCAGCGAAGTTGAATAGGTGAAGCTACAGCAAAATGAAAACAAGCTCTAATTACATCTAGTCTACGAACATACTTCTCACCACAGTCCAGTGACACTGATGAGAATTCCGAAAGTCTAAATCTTTTACCTTCACATACGGTCACAGCTAAGGGCTCTGCACTGCAGCCGTGAATATATACGACAGTTGCTTCACAAGGCAAAAATATTTCACGGAAGGGATGCCGGTCCATCCAAAGGCCAGCTGTCAGCAACATTCCTGAACCGGACACAACAGAGTGTCGAGGTAAAAGCTTTTCTTTCCATAGCCAACACCATTTCTCTCATTTCCTCTCTCTGCAGACCAGCTAAATATTTAACAAATCTAAGCACTTCACATTCTCAGGCAGAGGCAGAGAAGTTACGACTTGCTCACAGCCGCAAACACCAAGAGAACCAAGATCAGCCCCCAGAAGGCCTTGGCTACCGGATCGATACGAAGTAGAAAGGCAGGAGAGAGAGAATCGTGCACTAATTGGATTTAGCCTACAGGGTTTCTCCGGTGTTTCTCCATAAGTGCTGAAATCACTAAGAAAAGACCTAAAGCACCTCACAGGGAAGTTTACTTTAACATCAATTCCACAAGCACTGGAAACAGCCACACTTTACACAGCCACACACAAACAGGAGGTATCTTTTGATGAAAACCTGTTTTGTAATCAAAATCCTGATTGCTTCATTTGTGGGGAGAGGCAAGGTGGATCAAGAAATATAAACATACACATAAATTATACAGCTACAGATTCCAAGTTTAAATAGGAACCCACAGAGATTCTATTCAGAGAACGAGGACCAGCTATAACATCCCCAGCCACCTTATGTGACAAAATAAGATAACTGCAGCTGCATATTGCTTACTAAAAATTAAAACCAGTACCATTTATCTGCCTGCCAGCACATGTTTACGAAGTAAAGGGACTGCCTTTCCTTCCCCCGACCCCAAAAAAAAAGTTATATTTAGAATCTGTGCTTTTATTTCCCAAACTCCAAGACCCGCCACAGCCTGTGCATCCTTTCCAGCATTTCAAATCTGACCAAGCACAGATCACACAAGACAGAAATTTATTGGGCTAATGCTGTGAGAAGGGCATAGGTTTACAGTGCAAGTGCCAGGACAACAGATATTTAATATATAAGGCAGGATCATTAAGACAGAATTTCCTTTGACCTATATAGACAACCCATTGCCATTAAGTCAGGAATAGGAGCATTCAGTCTCACAGCTATGAATAAATGAATCATTCAAAGAATAGGGAGCGCTTGAGTCCCAACAGAAAAGTATTCAGTTAAATCCTATATCTCATTCGTTCAGACATTTCACGTACAGTGCTGAGCGTTCACATTGTTTCTTTGTCCCTCTTCTCTAGCCAAGTAACAAGAGTATGAAAGACGTTTGGTAGAGAAGAAAAGGAGAAGAAAAGGCTTTGTTAGCCTGTTAGATCCCTAAGCAACTGCCATGTTACAGCATCATAAGGTTGTTAGTTGATATCCAGTCTTTACAAACCAGACACAGGCCCACATCCTGTACCCCAGCCCTACTTCTCCAGATCATACTCACCCATCTGCTCCACAATTTCAGGTGGAAAAACTCGAGAAGCAAAAGCTCGTCGGAAAATATCCGAGAATTCTTTGTCAAGGCCCCCAATGCCCATTTTCTCAAAATTCCAGTCTGGGTTGATGATCGACTGGCGGTTCTCCTTGGTTTTTGATTTACCTGCAAAAAGAGAAATAATTTCAAACACGTAGCACAGCAGATTTACAGCAAACAGAAGCACAAACACCAGAAAGGTTTTACCAGGTCAGACCCAGGTCCAGCTAACTCGACGTTCGGTTTCAAACATGAGCCAGGAGGATGCACCGTGACAAGGATGCAAGGGACTCCGAGACTCAGCTTACTTTAGCAAACTATTTTCCCAGCCTTCCAACCATCCTGTTCAGGGATTTCTCGAGCCAGGTGTTGCTCCTATGTATTTAAGAATCCACAGGAGATTTCTCTGCCACAAACTCACCTAGGTCCCCTCGGGCCCCTGTAAACTCAGATTGCCCTACAGCACCCAGCTCGCCGTGTCTGCTGCTGGCTGCACGACCAAACGCCTCCTTTCGTGTGCCTGAGCCAGCTCCTACCAGCTCCATTTCATGTCCCCCAGTCTTATATCTGCAGAGACAGTAAATAGTATCAGTACCCACTCTCAGGCTGCCTGGGACGGTATTAGGCTTGCCCTGTATCCTCTCCAGTCATGCCTTCTCCGGGCAGAGCAGTCCTCACGCGTTCTTCCTTCCTTACGCAGCAGCTGCTCCACACTTGAGCCCCCTTGTTCTGCTCTGTCTCCCCTGTTTCTACCACATCATCTGACAGGCAGACTAGAACTGCACGCACTGTGGTTTGATTGTGTCTTAGATTACGTACAAAATTATTTTCCACTTCATTCATATTCCTTTATTAATAACGTGTAATAATTCTTAACGACCATGCTTAACAGTTCTTAACAGGGCTCGGGCTGCTACTGAGCATGGGTCCAGCATTTCCTTGAAACTATCAGACCTGGGATCTTGGCCCAAAACAGCAATCATTTTTGACCAAAGTTAGAAGTATTCTTCCTCCCACACATCACTTTACATCTATTTATATCGAATTTCCTCTGCCACTGAGCTCTGTAAGAGCAAGTTTTGTCACCTCATCACTCAGTCTTTCCTCCAGTTTATTCAATAATTATAATGAAAAGCAAAGGCCCCAGCAGAGATGCATGCTGAACTCTACTGGCACTGGCTATTTACTTCTACCCTTTCATCACTCATCTGCTCATGCAAGGACCTTCTCTCTTACAGATCTCGGTTTAGTTTCTTTTTAAAGAAACTTTGATAAGGAACTCGGTTGGGAGAGCTCTGGACAACAAGCAGACTATGGCAGCCCTTATCCCCATGCTTTTTGATTCCTGTAATGAACTCCAGTGGGATCACAAAGTAGGGCTGCCCTTACAGAAGACAGGCTGACCCTTCCCGGCGTATCATCTCTGTACAGGTATCCACTAATTTGATTCTTTATTACAGTTTCTGTTGATTTTTTTCTGTACAGATTTCAGGTTCAAAGACTTGTAGCTCTCCAGACCTTCCCTGGAATCCTCTCAAAAACAGACAGCACACTCGCCATCTTCCAGTCTTCAGATACCAGAGCAATTTTAAACAAGGTTACACAAAACAATTACGAGGTCAGCTAGTTCCTTTACAACTCGGAAGAATAAAAGCCAGTCTTGGCAAACCACCACGGTTCATTTTGTCTCTTTGTTCCGTAACGTCTTCTAGAGCTACTTCAGGTCTCCACGCAACGGTGTAACCGCCCTCCTTTCCCTTCTGTTGACAAACCACACGAGTTACAGTCTTACAGAGCTCCCTACTCCCTTTTCAGAGAATCTTTAAAGTACTCGGGGCATTTAGAAGGTAGACAATAAGCACAAATGCTCCTATAAGAATACTGCTGAGATGCTGTCAGATCTATATAGTCTCACCTTAAGTTTACTCAAGGGTATTTATAAACAAGCACTGACACTCTTACTGGTTAAATCGACGCTTCTCCAAATGGCTTTCAGCAACATCACTTTGCTTAGCTACCAGAGAAACCAACAGCAGTATAAAAACCCAGGGAGAAAGCAAAGACTGAAGATTATCCTTAATTCATGCAGACATTGGATGTCTTGTATTTTCTTAGATTTACACAGTGCTTTACAGGATTGGTGCTGGGACCATTATCTCCCCCAAAAAGCCAGTCCTGGCAAACTGCAACTGTGCATTTTGCCGATTTGTTCCATAGCCTCTTCTAGAGATACTTCAAGTTGAGCCAGATAATGAGTTAGCATCTAGAAGTCCATAAATACACTAAATAAAAGCTCTGAATTAGACTGCTATTAATCTTGGTCTAAACACAGCTGGAAGCAATACTTCAATCCCAAGAGCAGCAAAATAAACAAACAAGAATATGCCTCTAACTAACACGTTAGGGACAACACGGTAGCGTGTGTAACATAGAGCACTAATACATCGCACCATGCAGGGCAGCAGCGAGCGTCTGATTCACTGATTACTGTGTACTTATCTCTCATCCCTCCGCTCCGGTTTCTAGATCAGACCACTCAGCCAGGGATGTTCCTCCTCCTGTAGAGTTTAGCCTATACCCCCCCCTTCTGGCTGCATCCGACGACAAGAAAAATCTTGCAGATTGAATTAAAACATCATCCACTGGGTTTATAACACATTATTTTATGCTAAGTAGAAGAAATAGAATTGGTGCTTTTTTTTTTTTAAATGATCACAATTCTCTTCTATTGAAAAAAATAAAGGCCCTTTACTGAAGGTGGTGCTCAGGGACACTTTTATCTCCTCTCTCAGAATTTAATTATTCACAACTTTACAATTCTCCAGAGACTAACAAAGCACATTAAGTAGCTCTGCCTCAGATCAATGAGGAGATTAAATAAAGCGCCAATCTGAAAGAAGTAAATTGAAGCATAAGCAACTCTTTTGTCTTGTCTGCAGGCAGTGAAATTGAATCACGGTAAAGGATTCCTATTTCCAATCAATCAATCGGCTCTCCCACAGGACCACTCTTCACACCTATACATGCTAGGAGGAAGATCACAGGTAATTACACGGCTCTGAATATTAACCAAGTAAAATATCACTGCTTGCTCTGATGCAATAAATTGGATTATGTTAATGCTCACCTCCAGCTGGCCTATCAAAACACAGTAAAAACTAAACAGGCTGTAATCATGTAATCACAGGTATGAACTAATTGCCCATGCAAACTTCATTTGGTGCTCTTAAACCTGTATCCTTGTTAATATGCTTAATTACAGTCATCTACAATTCAGCCCATGGACCTCTGGTGAGGTTTTTCTTTTTTCGGTACAGATGATTGGCTGTACTTTCAGACAAAAACGTCCATGTAAGATGCAAGGTATGTGATTACACAACAGCCTCATGTCTCCTCATTTTTTGGAGTGACTGTAGCACGTGACACAGACAACTACAGAACACGAAGTCAGAGCCTCGCATTTGAGGGAAGACGGCACTTCAGGGCAGCATCAAAACTCGGCCTCTGCCGCAAGCTCCTGCAATGTTGTATGAGTTGTATTCTACCTTCCCAAGTGGCTACTACCCTCATATGTTTTATTTCTGTTCCAAATACTCAAAGTACCGAGCATTCACAGTCAAGCAGAGATGTGCTTTGAAGCCTACTGCAAAAATAATAAGTACTAAAACTCAACTGAGTGCTCATCTGAGCTGGCCAGGTTCACTGAACCCCGCTCACAGCAGCCTTCACCTGCCACTTCTTATGCGCAGCAGCAAAAGCAAAAGTTTTATTAGCTCATGGACTCCAGGAAGAGGGAACAACATAGGAAAGGAAAATAAGGGGAAAAATTAGAGTGTCTGTTCAAGTACAGGACTTGAATCACACCCAGAAAAGAATGCCTAGAGCCATATTAGCAGCAAGGGAGGTATTTGCAACTGCTTGCTAAGTATCATCCACTTTGTAACACTGGTAAGAAAAGGAACAGCCAGACTAACAGAGCGTGCATCTGTTCTGCAGGACAGCCACCGTGGTCCCGGGGCACACACCAAGCCAACTGCAGGGAAGGGGCCCTCGCCGCCCGCTTTGTGGTCCAGGTCCCCATCACTCAACTGGTGGCTCTATGGGAACACAGCAGATCCCTCCCTAGCCCTACACCAGTTTCTTTCTAAATGACCAGCGGGGTTAGCTCAGTTGGTTAGAGCACGGTGCTAACAATGCCAAGTTCACAGGTTCAGTCCCTGCTCACTGCAGGGGGGTTGGGCTCGATGATCTCTCAAGGTCCCTTCCAACCCAAAGCATTCTATGATTCTATGAATGTGGAGGACACATCAATTACTCCCCAATTCACAGTTCTGTTAATACTCTTCCTGTGTAAACAGTTAATACAAACTCACACAATGAACCTGCTGTGCTGTGTTTTGCAGCTGTCATCAGTTTCTGAAGAGCAGGACTTTCAGAAGTCAAGAAAACTGAAGTGCTCTTCAGAATCTGTCCTCTCTCCTTGAAGAAGAGATCTCATTAGAGATGGGATTTTCAGACGTTTTGCACTCACTTTGAAATTTTGGCTACACATTAAAAAAAGTTCTCAATTTCCTATTTCCCTGCAGTTTTAATTAAATTCAATTAAAGAGGTGTTGGCTTGTTAGTGTCCCTGAAAAGATCATTCTCCGATGTTTAAAGAGTTAAAATATTTCAACTAGTTGCTGACTTTTGCTGAAGCTGCTGTTCCATGGTGCCTTTCTAGCCTAGGCCTAGGAATCCAGAGTGCTTAGGTTAACTTCCCTACTCATCAAACTCAATTTGCTATGGTCAGAATCTCTCAGTCACAGTCACCTTTCCTCCTCCTGTCTGTGTCTCTGTATATTTTAGATACACCGTGGTGGTAAGCATGGTACAGAGACCCACAGAACTGCTCTAGTACGTTGGTCAGTTGTGGAGCTTCGTACTGGGAGGACAGTGACTTTTCTAGAGCCCCTGTTTAGAAGCAGCAAAGTCTGCCGGAGGGATGGTGTCTTCTCGGTGCAGTGGTTTTCAAAAGAGTCCTGAGCATCTACAAACTGCTTTCTAAAGGGTGTGACAGGTTCCTAAGGGACCAAACCCAGTCATCTGCTAGTTTAAACAGATACCTGGGAGACATTCTGAGATGCAGTTTCCAATGGATTAGGTCAACTGATGTAACCAGAAAAACAAACTTTGAGGCATACAAGTCTCTGAGGCCTGAAAAGAAGCAAACTTCAAGAATTATTTACCTCTTTGGATACAGTGGCACTTACCAATCAGATTGAGAGGGGAGTTCTCAGCTTTTTCAAAGGCAACTTGACTGTTTCCAAGAACCAAACCAACCTCAATCTGCAAAAGGGAAGGAAACAAATAATTACATTATGCTATTAGGTTCAACTTCAGATTGCTCCTTATGTATCTCCAAGCACATCTCAGAAGGCAAGAAACAGCAACAAAAGCTCCACTACAAAAGTCATTGGGAAGAATGTAAAACACCAACAGCTCCTCTAAAACTAACAACATTGAATGCAGAAGCTCATCAGGTATAATAAATTAGCTTTTTGAAGTCATTTGTTTAGCTCAAAACCAACTATTTTATTTCAGCAAGATCTAGCAATTAAAGCAGAAAATAAAATCATGTCCTTTCTACAAAAGGAAAAATCAAAACTGGACATATCTGGAAGACAAAAAGGCTCAAGAGAGGATGTTTCCATGAATTAGTACATAAAGACCAAAAGATATTCCTTGTATCTCCCCCAGCTCTGCACTTTAGTGGGTGCAACTCTAAGCTCCCAACTACACAAGCACAGGAGACTGCATTAAACTGAAAACAATGCTGCTTACCTTCTCTGAGGCAAAAGACACAGCCAGATGAAACAAATGTGCAACTTCTCCAAATGCAAGTAACCTAATCCCTCCTGGTAGCAAGATCTGATCAGTACCTGAATCTCTGCAGTCCCTAGGGAATGAACATGAATACCTGCGAGCCTACCTTCTGCTTTTTGCTTGCGCCAGACTCTCCTTTGAGAATGCTGGGGTCCATAGCTTCCATGTCCTTTACCAACAGGCCAAAAAGTTTGTCATTGAAGCTGAACACAAGCTGTGGAAAGAAAAAACAGAAGGGGATTTTAACTCATTAAAAAGCTAAAAGGATTTTGACAAGGCTAAGATTTGAAGAGAAAGAGGCCTGAGGGCTAAGTTTACTACCCAACAAATTCCATGTAGTCTTTATCCCGTAAAGGTCTGGTGTACTGAATGTGTCCTTCTCACGTCCCATACCTCAGGGTAACAGATCAAAAGTAGCAGAACATGAAGTCAAGTGGAAATATTCAAAGAAAAATTCTCATTCCAAGAAAAGCTGCTCTTTCCCACCCTTTTCTTCCCAGCTAAACGTTCTACATCATCTCTTGACATTTTCCTCTCACTTTAAATATTGGTTTTAGGCAAGGAGAACAATTTAGCTCAAACTTTTTCATCTTTCATATTTCAGTTTGACAAGGACACCTCAAAAATAGTGCTACAGTAGTGAGAGACAGAATGAATACTACAAGCAGTAGGGTCCATCCCACAGAAAAGCAGGCTGTCCCTGCACAATTCCTTTCCTCCAAGATCACATCTGCAACTGACTTAAGATTCAGATCCTGCAAGTTCTAAACTACTAGGAGAAACGGCCCTCGACCTGTCCTGAGAATATGGCAAACCAGAGGCTATTGCAGATGTTCGCAGGGGCAGAAGCCCATCTGCTGCAGAGCTGAGAAGGCTCAATTATAGGGACATCAGCTTTCAGAAATCCACAAGACAAATGTTTCATACCTATTCTACTACTGGAGTCCACAGAGTAGCAATAAACGTTACAATAAAATACACTGCACTTCAAAGGTGCTACTGAGAATTAAACTGGTGTTCATTTTGATCTTATATAGAAGGAAGACAAAAGTTACTTCTCAAAAGATTCCAGGAGGTGCCATGGTTATATCCAACCAGGCCACAATGGAGAGAGAACCCAGCTCTCTCAAGCCTTGGGATTTTCCTTCACAAAGAAAGATAGATTTCTTTAGATAAGGAAAAGGCAGATTTTAAACCACTCTGCTCATGCTCTCAGTGGAAGTCACGATGGTTCAACTTTTCATAAAGAAACTATTCACACAATAAACAATTTCTGCCTATTAACTGTCCTTTGCAGCACAGAGTCAGTATCTAAGCATTCTTCAGTATTTTACATCACTGTAGTACAAGCACGCGCATGTTACTTAAGAACATTTGAGCCTTAAAAAACAAAACAAACCCCACACCTGCTGGCCTACTGAGAAGGCTTGGCTATTGAATTGCTGGATGAATTCAGCAGCCATCTTGTCTGTGTCGTAGGGGTTGGAGTCAATGTTCTTCTTCTGCAGAAAATCTATCTCAACTGTCATTGTGCCAATACACTGCTTAGCCTTGTCGAAAGTGTATAAGGAAACTGTTAACACAAACAAAAAAAAAAAAAGAAACAGCATATTTCAGAACAGCAAGGTCGCTCCACAATATATTAAACATACTATAAGTTTGACAATACGTGTTCTTCCATTCAGAATGAGTACTTAATAAAATTGAATATAATATTTCTGATAGAGACCCTTAGTTCTCTTACATCCATGTTCTACTACAAGATCAAAAATATAGCAAATGTATCTCCAGTGAAAATCTCTGCATTTCTTTAAAAACTCTAATACTCTCCTTTGAAACAGCTCAAACCCCAGACAAGCTGTGGGGGATGAGGACAACGAAAGCAAATTCACACACACTGTAGTACCACGACAGCCATATCTACATCGAAGGGTTCAGAAGACGTGTCTTCAGAACGCCCAAAAGCAAGCATTAAGAGTAGTCTTGCCCAAAAAAGCAATGACAACAGGTCATAACTGGCTGTCTGTAGCAACAGATTGAGTAGCTCTTCTCCAGATTAGGTAGCAGAAAGTTAGACTACCTGCAAATTCAAGTGCAGTAATATAATCTATCAGGCTTCCACAGCCCAGAATGAAGCATCAACCACCCTTCGTCTCTGACACAAGGAAATAGCCCCTACCCCAGCGGTGCACTTGGGCCTATCCTAACAGACCCCAGGTTACCTTCAGTAATGCAGAATCAATTGAGCAGCCCTTGAAAGGGGGCAGAAAGCAAAGTGGCAGGGAAGGTGCTTCACAGTCATTGCCAACTGTACCTAATCCCCACAGGTCCTAAGTTACACCACGTCAAATGCAAGAGGCCACTTAGGGCTGTTGCTGCTGGAGTAAAGAGGATAGAAAGGAAAGAAGAGCATGGTCCACAACTTCAGGGATACTGCCTCAGCACAACTGATCAGAAGGACAGGATCTCACAAAGCAGACACTCCTAGTAATTCACAAATCAGACTGCAGCAAAGGACAGAAGCGGATGTTTCTCCAGAAGACTGAGGAACATCATAGGTTTGCTTTGAATCTAGAGAAGAAAGTCTCACCTGATACAGAAGTCGCAGCTAAGGGGTAAAGCAGTAGGAGAGGAATAAGGGAAATGTACTTCATACATAACCTACTATTTCCTATCAAGCCTCTTGGCAGTAGAATGGTTCCAGAATAAGCCTGCAGGCTCCTGGGAAGATGTGATGTCAAAATAAGCATCCAGCATGCTATGATACGTGATTCGTTCCACTTAAAGAGAATACAGAGAGCCCACCTCTTGCTTAAGTTGTTACCAGAAGACACATAAGTCATCACAGCATGCACATTTAACGTCCTTCCTGGTATGAGAATCAGCCACCTAAAAATGAGCTGTCAAAGACAGATCGTCCAGGAAACAGGGATGAAGATGAAACACTAAACCACTTCCTGAACTGAGGTGTATCTACTATATCAGCTAGTCCTTTCAAAGAGGGATATGGCAGCAGGGTTATCACATAAGCCATAGCTAATGAAGGAGGGACTTTCATCCTGCAAGGGCACAACAGCAGTTGTTCTTAACTTACAGGTCACTTCAGGGCAGTTATTTCCTTCTACTTGCCTATCTCAGGGCTCTGTCAAACAAAAGCTTCCAGAATGAATATCAGTCCCCGGATCTGCTCACATCACAGAACTGAGGTGTCGATTGAATACAAATAGTCCTTACATGAAGGACTGAATGCTGGGGATGTCTGGTACAGAGAAGAGTAATGCACCACGGGGGATGCAGTCCAGAGTAAGCAATATACAGCACCAGCTCCGAAAGCCTGTAACATCCTAGAAACAGAAAGGCAGGCTGAGAAGGTCGCAGTGACCTCCCGGTGCGGAGAACAGCCAGCCCCCGGTGTGCATCTCCAACTGTAGCACGGGAGCTGATGAAGCTGAACTGCACTGAAGGAGCACAACCACACCCACTCGAGGCACTCAACCTGTCCACAAAGGCAAGCTTACAAGATTCACTCACCTAGAAAGCCTTCACCATAGCATTAGGGTCTCAATGGGACTCAGCTTCCCTGTACCGCTAAGGAGTGGACTACATTTAAAACCGGCATTTAAAGCATAGTTCCCATTATTAGGGGAACAAGACAGAGAAAACCCTGGTAAATCACTAGTTTTATGAATAATTCTCCCTACCTGTAGAATAGCTTTACAAATCCTTTATACTCAGCAGGGAGTCATATGACACTTAGTCATTCTACATAAAATTACCATATTATTTTTCTTAATACATGTTCCCACATAGCTGGTAAGTTTATAGCAAGGTCTAGTACAAGTACAATCACAAATCTGCTCTAACAGCTAATCATGCTGAATATTAGTGTTTCTTTCCCCAAGTAACTTTAGTCCTAAAAAGCATTTATCTGTAAGCCAGCTGGCAAATGTTAGTGATCAGCAACCAAACATGGGTAAGAAACAAATCAATTTACGGGTCTTCCCCCCAGAAAAACATAGGTTTTTCTTCAGTTTCAAAAATAAAACAAGACAAAACCAGCTAGAAAAAACAAATGGCTTCCAAGCAAGATCTGTGAGGCATCTAGTTGTGTAGAGAGGCAAACAGACCCACTCCAGCTTGTCACTACAAAGAGATCCACAAAGACATCAGACTTCACACTCAAGTACTGATCCATGCCCATGGACTTGCTGAGACCAAAGAAGCTGTGAAAACAAACAGCCAAGGAGCAAGCTTTCCTAATGGTATGTCACATCCACAGCTGTACCACTTCTCAGCCTAGGTCCTCCTCACTTTTTGAGACAGGATGCAGTCATCGGCTCTGCCCACAATCCTCAAATTAGAGGAGAATTCCCTGGAATCACTGTAAACACCTCAAATGGCAAGACAGGGGCCTAATGAACAGGTTGCTCCACATCAGTGACCCTGAGCCAGCCAAGCATCAGAGCAGGCTTCATCGCAATAACCCTGTCAAAGAAAAGAGTGAGATGGCTGCCCGAGGAGCACACAGGGAATTCCTGATGGTCAGAAGAGCAGACATGATCCGTCACCTTGATGGGCTGTTGCAAAGAAGATGGAGACCCTCCTAGAAGAACAGCTGCTGCCAGGAGTTTGGTCAATACTCCAGAAGCTGCAGACAGACCAAACAGCAGCACCTACAACTGACAGCGATGCCAATCGTTCATAAACCAGAGGTAACGGTGACAGACAGCAAGAATAAATGAAAGACAGAGCATGCAAGCTGAGAGACACAAATCAGTCCCCTCTCTGAATGCTGGCAAAGGCTCATCAGGCTCAATTAAGACTTGAAATTGGAATACACATCTTCAATTTGTACAAACTCAGGATGGCATCCCTTTCCTTTCATTATACTGCAGAATATTCTAGTCGGTTATTGGCGAAAACATCAGTGCTACTCACAAAGCTCATCACTCCAGCTATCCAGAGCACACTCCTGGCTTTCGGCAGCTCTTCGCACTAAACTTCCACATTCTCAATACTCAAATTTAGAGGCAAGGGATATTCTCAATGACAACAGCTGTTTTCTGTTAGCTGATAAGCGTTCTCCAAAGCCACAAGAACAGACTATCTGGGACATGTTAAATGCTCACACCTGCATGCGGACACTGATGTCCCATACAGAGCTATACTGAAACACTGGCAGATGCCTGAAAATAACAGTCAAAACAGTCCTCTAGGTTTTGAAAATGTTAAAAGACAGAAAGCCTGCAGATACAAGAGCAACTCGCAACTCCCTTTCACTAATGAGGGCCTCACATTACCTGAAAAAGGGCTGAAGATCTGAGATTTTCCAATTCAGTTTCACTTCAGTACGGAAACACGGAATTCAGCTTTTATAAACACACGTCATGACATGCTGCTGTCTGACTTACCATCTATCTCTTGTCCAATGGAAAGTCCAGCCCATTTTCTCTGTAAAAACAAGAGAAGAATTTCAGAAAGCCTGTCCTTCACTAGAACAAACACCTACTCAGACTCAGCATCCTCACTCAGAAAAACAGGCTCCCCCATGAGAACCTTAAGCAGCAAAAAAGGGCAGAATGGGATCTTACGAAGACCCTCAAATTAACAGGAAACAAGTCAAAACCACAGAATTGTTGCTATTAATAATTCTATTTTCTGACCTCAGGAGGTTGTTCTGTCCAACCTCCTCCATGTTACTGGTCACCCCACCATCTCCGAGGCAGAAATGATCACACTGGATAGGGCTTTTTGTCATTCTGCTCATTTGCTACCAAAGCTCAGGTGCTGATAACACAACCGGTAGTACAACAGGCAAGAAAGGCTGTTATACACTCCATCATAATTTTAAAAGCTTACATGCATATACTAGTTGCAGGAAATAGTTGTAATGAGGTTTACGTTATAAAATTACCTAAAACAAAACTTGGTCAGAGAGCTATTAAGAATGGAACTGTTCAAATCCTCTAGGTCCTTTCAAGTTCCTCTAAAAACTTTTGTGCAGCACAGAACTGCATGAGAAGTGAGAAATGGTTCAATAATTATGTGACACAAAAATCTATGACCTTTACTACACCAGAGTTCTGGCTTGGTAATTGCAAAAACAGTACTTTTCCAATGGCCCTTGTGCTACAGATTGGCTAGCGTGTATTTACAGCTCACATCTCAGGCCATGCAGTATTCACAGTCTCTCAAGTATCTAAGCCTTAGAGAGGCATGAATCACAAAAATATGTAAGTATCATTACACAAGGCTCTGGTAAGATTGCATTTGAAATGCTGTACTTTATGGTCATTTATGTTTTGATTTTTATCTGGAAGGAACAAGTCTGGGAGAAGGAATATAATTACTTTTTTTAAAAAATTAAAATCTCCTCCTATACGCCCTCTCCCATATGTTCATGGTTCAAGCTTAAGGAAAGAATTCCCTTGGCATAACAGAGATCAACCTGTTAAGAATCAAAGCCCAGAGCAGGAAGACTTACATGTACTTACTGGTATTCCCAACAAGGTGAAAACAAATTATGTTTCAAAATTTAATCTCATGCTTCACAGCCTCCACTGTTTACCTGCAAGGCCAGGAAGAATTCTCCCCCTCCCCTTGACACTCCAATTTTTCAGCAAAAGATATCCTAAACTCACCTTCACCTGACGTACCAGGCACTGGTGACCACCAGTGCAAGAATGGTGGGCAGGCACACTGGTGCTCCTGCAAACACTGGGCTTTGCTTAAACCTTCCAGGTTAAGTCCTTCCCTAAATTCCAGGACAGGAAGGAAGAAGGAAAGCTGTCCAAGTTCTGCTAGAAAGATTAGTTAGGATCTTCTCTGTGGCAAGAGATAACAGCTCAATTGCTATGTTCATTTGGGTGTTTTCTGCCAAGAAGTTTGCCATCACTGCATGGCCCTTCATCTTTTGGGCTCTGCAGTACACAAAATTTTTCATGGCTTTTGGTATTTAGGCCTAAGAGTTAAGACTACGAGAGAATAAAGGTGGTCAAGAACTTTATGTGCATAACGAATGCACAACAGACTTTCTTGGAGGTCTTGGAGCCTAAGTGCGTATTACATGACCCTCCGTGAATACGTGAGGTAAACACACATTTTGTGTAACACTAGCTGCAATTATCCAAGGCTTCAGGAAAAAAATGAAAATTAAATCCTAACACCAGGAACTCTCAAATAAAACATTCCTATACCAGTAGCTCTAACACTTGCTACCATAGTCACTTTTTAGGGGTAAGAAACCTACCTCATTCTTTAGCAGAAGAGCTCTCCCGGCTCTACAAATAACTACTGTAACCTACAAAAATCAGCCCTAGACCATGAATACGTCTACTTTAACCCTGAGACACAAATATCTTCTACTGATAACTGGTTTTCAGTTTGGGCATCGCAAATCATAACTGGACATATGGTTAACATAGCATCCTCTTCACCCACTCATCTGGGCAAATCTGAATTTGAACAAGACATCAAAAACGCAAAAAGTTGTTTGGGGGCCTATGCCAAGTCATCTGTTGAGAAAAAAAAAATTTGTGTTTGCAGCATAGACACTCAACTGCTAGGCCAGTTACTAGCAGAAAAATATGATAGCATTAAATCAGTGACCATGGTTGCTGCAGTTTTACATTATGTGACTCACTGTAGCCAGTTGAAGGCTACAAGATTAATTTTTCTATTTAGAATTAATTGTTTGTATGAATTATTTATTCTAACCATCCCTTAGCATGTGATAACTTGACTTACTTAAGAAAGAGGAGAAAAGTTAAACCTATTTTATGCAATACATTGCACTTTTCATCTAGAAATACTAACAATGACAAATATAGTCAATAAAACTTCCTGTAGGTCTTTTAAAAGAGCAACACAGCAAAGAAAACCCTTTAAAGTCAAGGGAAACCAGGAAAAATAAAAATTCACACAGAATAGCAGACATTGCTTAGGCTTTTCTTTTTGAAATAGTTTGTTTCTGGTGGGTTTTTTAAAGGTGGCATTACACCTTTTAATATTTTTATCCCACCGTGCACTAAAAATAGATCAAAGTGATATAAGCAAGTTTGCTTCAGCTATAGTAAAAGTCAAATCATATAGTACCTGGGGCAAGCTGAACGCGATGCTGCCAGGAACAACTGAGGAATGGGTTCTCAGCGTGAAAACGTATTTGTGGTTGGAAGAAGTCTTCACAACAACATGTCTAGAAGAGAGAACAGTATTTTACTTCGATATATACCCAGGAGGATTTTCCATTGCTCCCAGTGCTGTGAGAATTCAAAAGAAACAAGCCAGCTTATATCTGGTCCTATAAAGGAAAGAACAAAAGCTTTAGACCTACGGCATGACGCGGGCACACAGCAGTCTTCCACAGGAGTCCATCGCCTTCAGCGACACAACGAGATCTCAAAGCCCAGCTGCAAGACCTTGTACTAACAGTTACTATTTACATTCCCCACCAGTAGCCCTTTACTGGAATTGCACTGTACAAATGCGAGAGAACCAAACTATAACCACAAAGACCAAGGCTGCTATATTAAAAAAATCAACACTGGTTTCACATCCCAAGCACCTAACACCAAAGCATCCATATTTTACCCCAATACAAGCAGTACACCCCAGCCGTGATTTCAACAAGAAATAGGTGCAAAGCCTATATAAGGATCTCAGTATACTCTTTAGAAGTTTGATCGCAGAAAAAAATGGGAGGAATTTCTGTACAAAAAGTAAAATCACATAGGTGCTGAGGCTGCCCCTCCTGTTTGCTAGCAACCAACAGATCCTGAACTCAGACAGCACCTGGAGACCAGGAACACTGTTATAAAAACAGAACAATACAAACAGTCAGGAGCAGACACAGCAGCAGCAATTGCGTGTGCCTGCCTGTCACTCTCAGAAGCTAAGCTGTCAGGAACAAAGATACTCAAAAGCTGCTTATAGTTATCCTCAGACGATGCCCGATAGCTCTTAGCGTGTGATAGGCAGACTTCTTCTTGGCATAAGAAAGCAAAACAAAAGGAAGATGGGATTTGTGTGCACTGGTGGCAGGGGTGATGGCGGAATCAGGTTTCACCTCCTCTCCTTCACAAGTGCCGTAACTGTACCTTAACCACCCACAGGTGTACGAGGTGTCGTGGCTCAGCCCAGGCAGCAGCTCAGCACCACGCAGCCATCGCTCCCTGCCCCTGCCCCTGCCCCGGGGGGACGGGGGAGAGAATCGGAGGAGTAGGAGTGAGAAACACTCCTGGGTTGAGATAAGAACAGTTTAATAATTGAAATTAAGTAAAATAGTAATGCTAATAGTAACAGTATAATAATGATAACAATAATAATGATACACGAAGCAAGTGATGCCCAATGCAATTGCTCACCACCCGCCGACCGATGCCCAGCCAGTTCCCGAGCAGCGATCGCTGCTCCCCGGCCAACCCCCCCCAGTTTCTATACTGCCCATGACGCCATATGGTATGGAATGGCCCTTGGGGCAGTTGGGATCAACTATTCTGGCTGTGCCCCCTCCCAGCTTCTTCTGCCCCTGGCAGAGCATGGGAAGCTGAAAAGTCCTTGACTGGCATAAGCAGTACTCAGCAACAACTAAAAACATCAGCGTGTTATCAACATTCTTCTCCTACTAAATCCAAAACACAGCACTGTGCCTGCTACTAGGAAGAAAATTAACTCTATCCCAGCCGAAACCAGGACATGAGGTCCCCAGCTTCTGCGGCCTGCGGTGCTCCCTGCGGTCAGAAACGAAGTGCTAGATGAACTGCGCTAACAGCCAAGGCCCACACTCCTGGCCATCCTCCCTCCCTGGCTGCAAACGTATTGCATGCACATATGCTCCGTATATTTTCATTTGCATATGCACAGCAATGCAGCACCATCCAAAAGCAGATCTGCTGCACACGTATACATTGGCTACATGGTGTATGCGTAACAGCTTCAGCCGTATGGTAGGGAAGAACATATGGCCCTTGGAGACGAGAGGAAATGTGTGGCCTGCACAGCCAAAACCACTAGACATCACCAGCTCTAGCCCAAACAGACAGGGAAGCTTGCAAAACCTTTCCCGGAGCTGCTAGCACCTGATGGCACAGCAGGGTAAGGAAGCATTCTGAACGTATCACCCAGTGACGCACACCTCCTCTGTCAGGTGGACGGGCGATTTGGTTCTTCACTGGTTCTGGCCCTAAAGCAGCCATTAGCTGCCTAAACCCCAGCTGCAGGGCCGTGCGCCCTTCCTTCCCATCTCCTCCTGCCCCAGGCGTAAATCCAGAAACCTGCTACAGGTGCTATGGTTCCCTATAAATCTTACAGAGGGAGAGCAAGACATTTACTGGTGCTTCATGGTGATCAGGAACGGTTCCTGAGGACGGCGAGAAAGCAGATGTCACTCCTACCTTCAAGAAGGGCAAGAAGGAGGATCCAAGGAACTACAGGCTGGTCAGCCTCACCTTAGGCCCTGGGAAAGCGATGGAGCAACTAATCCTGGAAGCCAAACACATTAAAGGACAAGAAAGTGACTGGGAGTAGTCAGCACGGATTTACAAAGGAAAATCACGCCTGACCAATGTGATAGCCTCCTAGGACGAAATGGCGAGCTCCGAGGATGAAGGGAGAGCAGCGGATATTGTTTATCTCAACATCAGCAATGCTTTCTACACTGCCTCACACAACCACCCTTACAAACTGATGAAATACGGACTAGGTAAGCGGGCAGCTCGGTGGACTGAAGACCGCCTGCACCGCTGGGCTCAGAGGGCTGCGCTCAGCAGCATGAAGTCCAGCTTCAGGCAGTTCACCAGCGCTGCACCTACCCCAGGTGTCCGTACGGGGGCCAAAAATATTTAAGCTCTTCGTCAGTGACCGGGATGACGGGACAGAGTGCACCCTTGGCCAGTGCGCAGGTGACACACCCGCTGACTGTGCTGCCACTCAGAGGGACTTTGACAGGGTGGAGATACGGGCTGACACAAATCCCATCAAGTTCAATAAAGGAAAATGCAAAGTCCTCCACTTGGGGAGGAATAATCCCAAGCACCGGTACAGGCTGGGGGCCAGCTGGCTGGAAAGTGGCTTTGCAGAGAAAAGACCTGGGATGCTGGTGGACAACAAGTTGAGCATGAGGCAGCAACACAGCCCTGCAGCAAGGATG